GGTAACTGTACGCAGAAAGCGTAGTCGTGGATCTCTGCCCACTGGTCACCACCAACCCGTTCACGTTTCTAACCGGTTTTCCCCACTCAGTGACACACCCACTGAGAAGCCCACTCTGGTGATTGGCAGCTCCATAGTCAGAAACGTGGCATTAGAGACACCAGGGACCATAGTCAAATGTTTGCCGGGGGCCAGAACGGGCGACATCAAATCCTACCTGAAACTACTGGCTAAGGATAAGGTTAAATACAGTAAGATTGTTATTCACGCTGGTGGTAATGACACCCGGTTACGCCGATCGGAGGTCACTAAAATTAGTGTTGCTTCGGTGTGTAAGTTTGCCAAAAAAATGTCGGACTCCGTAATTTTCTCTGGTCCCCTCCCTGATCTGACCAGTGATGACATGTTTAGCCGCATGTCGTCATTCAACCGCTGGTTGTCTAGGTGGTGCCCTGAAAACAACGTGGGCTACATTAATAATTGGCAATCCTTTTGGGGAAAGCCTGGTCTGATTCGGAGAGACGGCATCCATCCCACTTTGGATGGTGCAGCTCTTCTTTCTAGGAATCTGGCCACATTTATTAGTCCTCCAAAACCCTGACCACCCAGGGTGCAGACCAGGAAGCAGAGTTGTAGTTTAACACACATCTCTGCAGCTTCTCTACTGTTACCCACTCTTTACTCCATCCAGACAGTGTCTTGCCCACGACCAAAATCTAATAAATTAGCAAAGATTCCCAAAGGAGTAAATCATGATAATCTAATTAAAATCAAAATAACTCAAATTGGGGAAAAAGTTAAAACAATTAAATGCGGTCTGTTTAACATAAGATCGCTTTCCTCTAAAAGTCTACTAGTTAATGACTTGATTTGTGATAATCACATCGACTTGTTTTGCCTTACAGAAACCTGGCTGCAGCAAGAGGATTATGTGAGCATAAATGAGGCAACTCCTTCAAGCTATTTAAATTTTCACATCCCCAGAAGTTCTGGGCGAGGAGGAGGAGTAGCAACAATCTTCCAGTCTGACTTACTGATTACTCCCAAAACAGTTAATACCTACAACTCTTTTGAACATTTAACCCTTAATTTCCCTGATCCAAATTTCAAGGCAAGAAAACCTCTTCTTTTTGTAACTTTGTATCGTCCACCAGGTCCTTACTCTGAATTTTTAGATGAGTTTTCAGAGTTCCTTTCTGATTTGGTATTAAATACTGACAGGGTCATCATAGTGGGAGATTTTAACATCCATGCTGACATTGAAGGCGATAGCTTAAGAGCAGCCTTTTTAATGTTATTTAAAGCCCACTATTGGGGTTTTGTTAAAATTGTGAATAGCCCCACGCTTTTCATCTTAATATTTTTGGTTTCTTGTGCGGGGACATAGGGGCTTTAAAAATGTGAAGAAAAAAACCAGTATTTCCTCAAAAACCCCTTTGTCCTCTTGACCCTTTTTCCCTTATAACCTTCAGGATTACTTTAAGGTTTTCCCCCCCCCCAAAAAAAGGGGTTTTAAATTTTTTAGTTAGATTTTTTTTTTAGATAGTGCAGTTTTTTTTAAATTTTAAAAGAATTTTTTTAACCCTTTGCTTTCCACTTTCCCCCCTTCTCCCCCCCTTTTTGTCCCCCGGGGAGGAAAAAAGTGTTGCAAGATTTTTCCCAAAAAAGTTAAAATTTAACCCCCCTTATTCCCCTTTAAAGGTTTTGTTTTATTTTTTTAAAATGGGGGGGTTTTTTTGTTTTTTATTTTTTCCCCTTCTCCCGTATTCTTGGGGGGCAAGGGAAAAGCTCCTTTGGGAAAATTTGAAAACGTTAAAAAATTTAGGGAAAAGGCTTGCTCCTTGGGTTTTAAGCCAGGAGGCCCTCCCTTTTTCCCCCTTTGAAAGGCCCCAAAAATGTTAAAGAAATTTTTGGGAAGGAAAAGGAAAAAATAAATTCCCGCCTTTTCCCCCCCCCAGGCCTGCGAAAGAGGCCCCCCCCCCCTTTCCCCCCTGTCTGGAAAAAATGGTTTTACTGTGTATAAGAGGCCCCCTTTTTTTTAAACCCCAAGGAGCAGATTCCCTTCCCCCCCAATTAATAGGGAAAAAAATAAAAATTTAATCTAGATTTTTTTTAATAAATTTTGCCAAATCCCCCCAGACCCATAGCTTGTTAAAACCCCCCCCCCATTCCACCCTTGGCTTTTTCAGCAATGACTTTATGGGATTCTTTATAAAAAAAGATTGATTTTATTAAAAAAGGATCTTAAGCACTCCTCTTTCCGCGATTGTACCTGAGGTAGTCATGGAATCTGAACTGGGTTTAGACTGCTTTGATCCAGTTGAACTCTCTGAATTAGCAAAATTATTGTCTTCATCTAAGCCTTCAACTTGTATGTTAGATCCAGTTCCAACCAGGTTATTTAAGGAGGTATTCCCTTTGATCTCCTCCTCCATTTTAGATGTGATTAATCTATCTCTGTTACAGGGATATGTACCTAAAGCTTTTAAGGTTGCTGTAATTAAACCTCTGCTTAAGAAACCGTCTCTTGACCCAGATGACTTGGTCAATTATAGACCTATATCCAATCTTCCTTTCTTATCCAAAATTCTTGAGAAAGTAGTTGCCAAACAAGTTTGCGATCACTTCCACCATAATGAACTTTTTGAAGAGTTTCAGTCTGGCTTTAGAGCTCATCATAGCACTGAAACAGCTCTGGTGAAAGTCACTAATGATATTCTCATGGCCTCAGATAATGGACTTGTATCTGTGCTCGTCCTGTTGGATCTTAGTGCTGCATTTGATACAGTTGACCATAATATTCTTTTAGAAAGACTTGAATATTTTGTTGGAATTAAAGGAACAGCACTAGACTGGTTTAAATCTTATCTATCTGATCGAATTCAGTTTGTTCATGTTAATGATAGATCTTCAACACGCTCAAAGGTTACCTGTGGAGTACCACAGGGATCAGTGCTAGGACCAATTCTCTTTACTTTATACATGCTCCCAATTGGTAGAATTATTAGACAGCATGGGATTAATTTCCACTGTTATGCTGATGATACCCAGCTATATCTGTCTATAAATCCAGATGAAGCTAACCCATTACATAGATTACAGGCATGTCTTGAAGACATAAAAACCTGGATGACTCTTAACTTTCTGCTTCTGAATGCAGACAAAACAGAAGTTATAGTCTTTGGACCAGAGTCTCTGAAAAAGAAACTGATTAGCCAGTCACTTCATTTGGATGGGATTAAACTGATTTCAGATAATAAAGTAAAAAATCTTGGTGTTGTTTTTGATCAGGACCTGTCATTTAAATCCCACATCAAAGAGGTTTCTAGAATTTCCTTCTTTCATCTGAGGAACATTGCAAAAATTAGAAATATCCTGTCCAGGGGTGATGCTGAGAAACTAGTCCATGCATTTGTTACTTCAAGGCTGGACTATTGTAATTCTTTACTATCAGGAAGTCCACAAACTGTAGTTAAAAGCCTTCAGCTGATCCAAAATGCTGCAGCCAGAGTTCTAATGAAAATTAAAAAGAGAGATCATATCTCGCCTATCCTGGCTTCTCTTCATTGGCTTCCTGTTAAATCAAGAATAGAATTTAAAATCCTCCTTCTCACATATAAAGCCTTAAATGGCCAAGCTCCATCTTATATCAGAGATCTGATTGTTCCTTATGTTCCTAACAGAGCACTTCGCTCTCAATCTGCAGGTTTACTAGTGGTTCCTAGAATTTCTAAAAGTAGAATGGGAGGCAGATCTTTTAGTTATCAGGCTCCTCTCCTGTGGAACCAACTACCAGTTTTAGTCCGTGAGGCAGACACCCTGTCTACTTTTAAGTCTAGGCTTAAAACTTTCATTTTTGATAAAGCTTATAGTTAGGGTGGCTCAGGTTATCCTGAGCTATCTCTATAGTTATGCTGCTATAGGCTTAGACTTTTGGAGGACATAGGGACCCCCATTTCATCATTCTGCTTCATTCTCTCTCTGTTCTCCTATTCTGCAGAATCTGTTAGTTCAATCTCTAACCTTCTGCTCTCTCTGCTTTTCCTCAGAGTAGCTTTGCCTCGTCTGTTCCTGTTTGGCTGTGACGTCATCCTGGAAAAAAATATCAGCTGTGCTGCTTCTATCAACACCCTTGTTAATAGATGTTGGAGATCGGCCTGTTTTCCAGTGTGGTCCTGTTTCTCTGACCGTGACTGAGTGGATGTGCTCTCTTCGTCCTCTGGCATGGGAGCTGCCTCGGAGCTCGTCTGCCTGGCTGTGTGTTTCCTGGACGGGGCCGCCTTTTACAGCTGCTTTTTGTATCTCTGCTTCTGTCTCCTTGAACCCCAGTCGGCCTCGGCAGATGGCCGCTCACACTGAGCCTGGTTCTGCTGGAGGTTTCTTCCTGTTAAAAGGGAGTTTTTCCTCTCCACTGTCGCTACAAGCATGCTTAGTTTGGGGGATTGTATTTGAGTCAATGAGTCAATGCAATCAACTGGTTTTCCTTAGATAGAAAACTTTGTATCAATTTGATCTGGTTGAACTGTAAAGTGCCTTGAGATGACATGTGTTGTGAATTTGGCGCTATATAAATAAACTGAATTGAATTGAATTGAATTGAATTAATGCCTGTACAATAATTTTGTTGATGCTTCACTATTCCATGAAATATACTGAATGCATATGCATAGAAATCATTGGCTTATCACTGCTAATTTTCTATCCTGTTTCCTAGAAAGTAATGTATGTTCAGTCTGTTATTTTGTTTACAGTTTAAAATCTAGACAAAATTACAGACTGTGTATTATAAAGTAAATAACTTGCAAGATAAAGTAAAAAAAAAAGCATTTACAAAAAATAATATTCAATATGCACTTCTCTTTTCTTGCCCCACCCAGAATGATGAAGCAGTTTTTCATTACATCTCAGATGGGGAAGATAGAGCATAAATATTGTGTGAGAGCTTTAAATGTGCTTCTTTCACTAAGCACAATGCCTGCATGGGCACAGTATACAAGGAAACTTTTGTATTTGTTGTTGTCTGCATCTTTTTCACACACAGAAAAACAAGATTGTCTACATAGAGGGGATCTTGAGGATGCGCAACTATTCAAGAATGGGGACATTATGTTGGGGGGAGTCTTCTCATTCCACAGCAGCTGGAGGAATATTCAAGAGAATTATGAACAGAAACCTCAACAACTTCAATGCACCAGGTGATTAACACAATTATGCTGGTATAAAAAAGGATATATTAGTTACTTTATAATTAATGTGTAGCTGTTAATATAGCCCCAGAGAGTTAAATTTGTTTGGATTTCACATGTATTAATTTTTTGTTTTTATTTTAAGTTTAAATTTCAGAGACTTCCAGTTTGCACAGGCCATGCTCTTTGCCATCGAGGAAATTAATAACAGCACAGAGCTCCTGCCAGAAATTACTCTGGGCTATAAAATGTATGATGCTTGTGGTTTTATTGCCAGAAGTGTAAAAGTTGCATTGGTCTTACTGAATGGTAATGAGATTAAAGCTTCATCTTCAAAGGCATGTACAAGACCTGCAGAAGTACAGGTGATAATGGGAGAAACCTCTTCCTCTCCTAGCGCAGCCATTGCCACTGCTGTTGGACCCTTCCGGATACCGATGGTGGGTAAAAATTGTAATTGAGAGATTTGATTATGCTTGTTTTTCGAAATTATATTATAAATAATTTTTTTTTCTCTCTTAGATCAGCCATTTTTCCACATGTGCTTGTCTCAGTGATAAAACCAAATATCCATCATTTCTTAGAACTATTCCCAGTGATTATTACCAGAGCAGAGCTTTGGCCCATTTGGTAAAACACTTTGGATGGACTTGGATAGGAGCTGTTAGATCCAACGATGATTATGGAAATAATGGCATGGCAACATTCTCTGAAACTGCAAATCAGCTGGGCATATGTCTTGAATATTCTGTATCATTCTTTAGAACAGATCCTCCAAATAAAATACAAAGAGTTATTGAGACTATTAAGACATCCACCTCCAACGTTGTTGTTGCTTTCCTTTCCCACATGGACTTAGATGTCTTGTTACATGAGTTTTCCAAAAATAACTTAACTGGCTACCAGTGGGTTGGAACTGAAGGCTGGATGTTTGATTCTCAAATTGCAGCAATGGATACAGATCAAATTCTGGATGGGGCTATAGGCCTTTCCATTCCCAAAGCACATGTAAATGGACTCAGAGAGTTCATGTTTAATGTTAAGCCACTAAATTCATCAAATAGTGACTTATTTACAAAGCTTTGGGAAGAATTATTTAGCTGTAAATTCAATCAATCCCACTCAGGAAAAAATAAGAAGGAATGTACTGGAGAGGAAAATGTTTCAGAAGTAAAAAACAGCTTCACTGACATGTCACTCATGCCCATATTTTACAATGTTTATAAAGGGGTTTATGCCGTTGCTCATGCTTTGCATGGAATTCTCAACTGTAATAAGACATGTGAGAAGAATGTCCATCTAGATCCCTCAACAGTAGGTTTAATCCCATTTCTTAGCTTTATCTTGACAATACTAAATATGTTGTATTAATATATAATAATTTATAATGTAAAAATTATTGTTCTTTTACTTTCATGTTAGATTTTACAGCAAATACAGAGGATTCACTTCAAAACAAAGGAAGGAGATGAAGTTTACTTTAATGAGAAAGGAGATCCACCAGCAAAGTATGATATTATTAATTGGCAACGGGGGGAAAATGGCATGTTGAACTTTGCAGTTGTTGGTCTTTATGATGCATCATTACCAGCTGATAAACAACTAAATGTGAATATTAGTTCAATCATTTGGTCAAAAAACATGCTGCAGGTAAGTTTGCAAGTAATTTTCTTAATGATTTAGCAATTAATAAAAAAACGGTTTAGTATTAAACACTTGGAAAATTATTAAATCAATGTTATGTTTTTTTGTTGTACTAAATCTTTATGCAGGTTCCTGTTTCAGTTTGCAGCGAAAAATGTCCACCAGGAACACAAAAAGTTTTGCAGAAGGGAAGGCCTATTTGCTGCTTTGACTGTATAAGGTGTGCAGAAGGAGAAATTAGTGACAGCATGGGTAAGTTACAATTAGTGTCTATGTTTATGTAAGAATAATTAAACTGCTGTATTTATCTGTAAAAAATAAGGCCTAGAGAAAGTTATTTACTGTATGAAATCAGAATTCTTCCAAAAGGCCACACGTGTAATAGATACAGATTTAAGCAGTTTTATTTAAACACACTCACATAAAATGCTCTCCATGCATATTTTGAATTTCAGTTTACCATCTCTTGCTTGATTCTACAGATTCTGTCACCTGTGTGAGATGCCCCCTTGAATCCTGGTCAAATGAAAATCGAAATGCCTGTGTAAAGAAGAACATAGAGTTTCTTTCGTTTAAGGAAATCATGGGAGGATTGCTCACAGGAGCCTCTTTATGTGGTGCATGTATGACTGTCATTGTTGCAGTCATTTTTGTTAAATATCGAAAAACTCCTCTGGTGAGGGCAAACAACTCTGAGCTAAGCTTTCTATTGCTTTTTTCCCTAAAGCTGTGTTTCCTCTGCTCTCTGACTTTCATTGGCCAACCATCTGAGTGGTCCTGCATGCTGCGTCACACAGCATTTGGCATCACTTTTGTCCTTTGCATATCATGTGTACTGGGGAAAACCATAGTGGTTTTAATGGCTTTTAAAGCTACAATTCCAGGGAGAAATGTGATGAAATGGTTTGGACCTATACAGCAAAGACTCAGTGTTCTGGGATTCACTCTTGTACAAGTCATTATATGTATCATCTGGTTAACTAATTCTCCTCCTTTCCCTTCCAAGAACTTTAAGGAATTCAATGACAAAATAATCTTAGAGTGTTCTCTGGGATCAGCTGTGGGCTTCTGGGCTGTCCTTGGGTACATAGGATTTCTTGCCATGTTGTGTTTTATGTGTGTGTTTCTGGCTCGGAAACTTCCTGATAATTTTAATGAAGCCAAATTTATCACCTTCAGCATGCTGATATTCTGTGCCGTATGGATAACTTTTATTCCAGCATATGTCAGCTCTCCTGGGAAGTTCAGTGTTGCTGTTGAAATTTTTGCTATTCTTGCCTCTAGTTTTGGATTATTGATTTGTATCTTTTTTCCAAAATGTTACGTCATAGTCATGAAACCAGAAAAAAATACAAAAAGGAATATGATAGGGAAGGGTGCCACAAATAATTTCTAAAACTGGATTTTATGTCAAAAAAGGAACACAAAAATGCTACATTTCAGTTCATGAAATCAAATTAAATATATTGCCTTCCATAGTTGCCATTCAATTTAATTAATACAATGATAAAAGTCAGGTATATTTCCTCATTAAGTGTATTGATGGCTACCTTTTGCAGATCCAATATGGCATATTAGCATCAAGAAATGGACGATGTATAAATTGCAGGCGAACTGGACAATGGATAACTCTTGAAATGAAAAAAAAGAACAATAAAATCATGTTATACACAGCCAGCTGAGGTTTTACAACTTGCTTTTTTTCTACCATTTGCTCCATATTTGAAACGGTGAAAAAAAAAAAAAAAAAATTGGATACAATAGTCGTTCTTATGATGATGATAATGATTATCTTTATTTTTACAAGGACAGTGCACGAATTAAGGACCTACAAAACAGTGAACATACCAGGTTAAAATATACAAATTTCCAACCATATTTGCTAACTGAGATTTATAAAGTTTCAGTTATTTCCTAACATTAATGCAGACTGACACTACTTTATAAATAATAAAAAACACAGATATTTATACATTTGCCAGCAAAGTCTACATGTGTGGCATGACTGTTTCCTTCAGATGTAATTCTTTCTGCCTGTCAAAAAGGCAAGGCAAAGAAAGTTTATTTGTGTAGCACAATTCAGTTCAATGACGATTCAAAGTGCTTTACATGAATTCAACAATAAAATACAATGAAAATAAAGCCAGAATAAGCAAATCGAGATAAAAACACAATAAAATCAGGTAACAAAAGAGTCACAAGCTGCCAGCCCACCAGTGTGGCTGAAGCTCGTTCTCCAGGCGGCCACAGGTGACCCATCTTACAAACTACCTGCAAGGCCAACTATCATGAGAAGAACACATGACCAGCACGCCACGGAGAAAGCAGAGAAAGATGAGAAGTTGATCGAGGTGACGTGTGTGTCAGATTTTTGGAGACACTATATTGTTAAAGTGGGACATCTATAATTAGAAGTGGGACACTATTTTTTGCAGCGAAAACACAGTAACAAATGAGCAGAAAAAGTATTTATAACTTTGTCAAAATCTTAAGTAAGAAGATGAATTTACGTGTGATTTTCCAAACATAAAAAAGTAAACCTTTACTTTAAGGTTCTTGAGCTCTTTGGCAGAATTCAAATTAGCAGTTTTAATCTAGATTAATTCCAGAATTACAGTGAGATTGATCTAGATTGAAAAAAAAAATCTATGCCACCAATCATCTTAATGTGGCTGCATTACTTTCTCTCTTAACTGGGCAACTGCATGATACTTTCTGAGGAGGGGGTCTATGTGACCTGTATGTTGTTCTGATCAGACCCACTGCGTTTTATTATTATTATTATTATTTGATGCCCTTATAGATAAATAAAAAACTAATTCAAAAATCTCCAAGTAAACCAAAGGCTTTGTAAGTATGTCTGGAAAGATTTAGTGACCAAGATTTCTGACTTTTTTTGTTTTGAGAAAGTGAGACCTGAACCTGACTGGTTTCAGAGTTAGCATGATCTGGATATGCTTCCAAATCATTTAACAATTTTTTGTTATATCACATGAAAAGATGAGGTCCTTTATCTTCTCCTCGGCCTGCATCTTTTCAAACAGTGATCACACCCACCAATCTGCGATCAGAGCTGTTTTAAATTGCTTCTGCTTTTTGGATTGGCTATAAAAAAAACACACTGCTTTTCCAAAGTCTCGATGGTGAGAGCCAGTAACAGATCCTAATCCCCAATCCCAACACACCCCTTAGCCCTGCTATTTAGCCCATTCTGAGTTCTGGCTGGTGCCTTTCTCCCCTCGTGTAGGGTGTAGAACAGGGTGCCTATTGGGGTCAGTAGGGGGGCTTGCTCCTCAGTTGTTTGCTCCCTATCTCAGATGCTTCCCTTCACCTGCTTCGTCACACTAGGACACACATAAGATCTTGGGGATGAGATCATCAGCAGGGTGGGTCCTCCTATGCCGGTGGTGGCCATTGTCCCACTTTTGAAAAACACCTTCGACAGCATCACATTTCCAAGACATATATATGGCATCAGGATGGGCATATACAGGGCACTGGAGGTGGTCAGGCTTTCTAGCCTAGCTTCCAGTGCTCATGCTTACCTGTGATGTTTGAAATGCATGTACACATTTTATAATAAATGTATAATACATTTTATTCAATTACACACTTACGGTTTAGGATGGGAGAAGTAGGGGGAAACGCCTAGCCTCCCACAGTTTTAAATACACAGTAGTCCAACAGGCAAAAACACTATATCCGAGCAGCGGGGAGGGACTGACATTGGGTCTTTCACACCCCTGTTCTCTTTGCTCTGCCTGGAGATGGAGCTGGGTCTTTTGGGTTGATCATGACTTGGCTGGGGTTTCTGGATCGCCTTGGGCTTTAATCCGGATCCACCTTGGGTGTGACTGGCTGCCGGCAGAGCCCCTGGGTTTGCTGCCACGACCCCATGGCTCCTCAGGGATTGAACTCTAGGTGCTCTTTTCTGCCTTTTGCTGGTGGACGTTTGCTGGGGCTCCCACTGCCTCTTTCTCTGTCCGGGGCCCTGTAGGACAAATCTGGGGCCGCCCACACCTGCTATTAAGCATACTTGTCTTTTAAAGATACTTTGTAAATCCTTTATACATGAGTAAGCATGCCCATGCATACATACCACAAACGTTTGGTTCCAGGTGTTCATTGATACACACCAACAATAAATACCAAGCTGCAGCTACAGATATATATACCACCTATGAAAGTAGACGTCTAGGAGATAATGTGTATCCTCTGTGTTGACTATTTTTGCTGTTTTGTTTTATTTTCGTGTCCGTTGTATACGAGTTCACTCCCTAACAGTTTTCGATAAATTCTATTATACAAGTATCAAGCAGAAGCTAATGGCGAAATTCATAATGATCTGCTTGTGAAAGAAAACCTCTTGGGTTATCTTCTAGCTCTGGAACATCTATTCACAGAGCTATATTGGCAAAACAGTTCACACACAAAAAAAAGATCGGAGAAATAACCCCACAGCTAGAAGAGGCTACAGCTGGCCTGGGCTAGATATAGAGGCTAACTACAGAGGACTGAATGAGGTTGGGTGTAGATCTGATAGGTCCCCTGGGCAAACATAGCAATGAAGGTGGGGGGAAGGCTGTGCTAGTTAGGAAGAGGACAGCAGTATATCATTGAAGACCACCAGGTACGCAGAGCAGGGAGAGGATTTGACTGGCTGGGATTATTGGGGGGATATGAAAGGAGAACTGCTAAGGATCAGAGAAGCTTGCTGGGCAGACCAAGTGTAGGAGTGAGGGTGAGAGGTTTGGGGCTGGCGTTGTCTGCGCTGAAGGTAGAACAATGAAACAGCCCTCCTAGGACTAAACTAAAACAGCTTTTTAAAATCCACCCACAAATCTCTTAAGAGCATCCCCATTTCACCCTTTGTCAACATTAATTTCTCTTTGTTCCATTATGATTAAAATCAAGCTTTGACTCCTCTCTTATCCTGGGGAGTATCTTATGTATGTGCCTACGTAAATACGCAGTCACGTACATACCTGAACATCAACTGGTAGTGGGTGAGGGCTAGCGCTAGTGTTTGTAGGTAGATTGTGTATTGGGATTCAGCTAACATTCTTATTTAAATAGGGTTGATTTTGCAGTACTTTTGCAACTCTTGTCAGTTATACAAGAAATTTTGCAATACTATTCAGGATCCAACACTCGACGATTAACTCCAACCTACTGTAGGATATTTGGAACTCAAGTCTCAGGAACAATATTATATTATTTAATCAGGTTTAAATAAGCTGATAAATGTAGATTTTTGACTTTTATTACAGATGGGTTATGACCAATATTAGTCCACTTGAATTCCTTGCATTTCCCTAATTGAAGTAATGAAAAAATAGGGAAGAATTTCAGCAAAGACTTTTTTTTTTATGACTAGGTTGAAAAACTCTTTTTAGTTTTTACATAAAAAACATTCTTCATTGCACAATTGCTCAGATAATTTTTAAAAGGTCGTGCTTTTTAAAACCCTTTAAGACATTCTTTATGCTTTTTTTGTAATGATACAAACCATAAAGTGAATGCTTAATCTCATCTGTGAATTTGCTGTGAAGCCATTACTTAATATTTAACTGAGCTATTCACATTAGTTTCAATCATTATTTCCTGATCATAACTTTTATCATAACATATTAGATAGCATTTTTTTGTAAGACGTGTGTTACAGTAAGCAAGTTTAATTTTTAACAAATTTTTTTCCTAGTTAAAACTTTATCATGCAGTAAGGCATTTTGGGAGCTATTTCGGAACTTTCTGAGATTCAAATGTGTATATAATGTACAATGAATATTAAATGTGCAAATACTGTCAATAAAAATGTTACATTCAAACTATCTGATTTAAATTAAAGCTTTCACATGTAAATGGTTTTGTACCTTTAGTTGCATTTATAAGGTTATTTACTTGTCCTCACCCCACCCTGTGTAGTATGTTCAATCATGAGTGGGTTTTTTTTGTTTTTTTTTTTAAAGGTCATGGAAATTAATGATGTATAAATTGTGGTTAGGGATTTTCAGCTGGTCTCTTTCTTTCAAGATGGCATCCATGCAGATGTGGTCACTGCAAGGATTATCTGTTTTTTATTGGTTGACAGTGGCATCTTATCCTTATGCCGAGGAACCAGCATGCCAACAAATAGGGGATGTGGAAGAAGCAGAGCTTATTAAGAATGGTGACATTATGTTGGGAGGAATCTTCTCTTTCTACAGCAGCTGGAAAAACATCCAGGAAAACTATGAAAAAAAACCTCAGCGACTGCAATGCACCAGGTGAATAACAAAGCTATTTCTCTAAAGATCATTAATCCATTGTCCTTTTATATCTTGATGTTTTTTTAACACATTAAAACAAGTCATTTAAAAACAGTATTATTTATGATTTTTTTTCTATTTAAAAAATGTGTTTTATAATTTCCTACTTATAGATTTTCTGTCTTAAGTTTAAATTTCAGAGACTTCCAGTTTGCACAGGCCATGCTCTTTGCCATTGAGGAAATTAATAACAGCACAGAGCTCCTGCCAGGAATTACTCTGGGCTATAAAATGTACGATACTTGTGGTTCTATTGCCAGAAGTGTGAGAGTTGCACTGGCATTACTCAGTGGTAATGAAATTGAGGCTTCACCTGCAAATGCATGTAGAACGCCTGCACAAGTACAGGTGATAATGGGAGAGACCTCTTCCTCTCCTAGTGCAGCAATTGCCACGGCTGTTGGACCCTTGCGGATCCCAATGGTGAGTTAAAGGTAGAATAACCTTTATATTGTTTTTGTAAAACTGAATTATTTACATAATATGTATGTATTTCTTTTAGATCAGCCACTTTGCAACATGTGCTTGTCTCAGTGATAAAACTAAATACCCCTCATTCCTTAGAACAATACCCAGTGACTATTATCAGAGCAGAGCCCTGGCCCAATTAGTTCAATATTTTGGTTGGACTTGGATTGGTGCTCTTAGAACCAATGATGACTATGGAAATAATGGCATGTCAACATTCATAGCAACTGCACAGCAGCTGGGTATATGTGTGGAATATTCTGTATCATTTTTTAGAACAGATCCATCAGACAGAATACAAAAGATCATTGAGATTATTAAGACATCTACCTCAAAGGTCATCGTTACTTTTCTTTCCAACATGGATTGGGATGTGTTGTTACATGAGTTCTCTAAAAACAACTTAACTGGCTACCAGTGGGTGGGAACTGAAGGCTGGATTTTTGATTCTCAAATTGCAGCAATGGATACAAATCATATTCTAGATGGTGCTATCGGTCTTTCCATCCCTAAAGCACATGTAAGTGGAATACAAAAATTCATGTTTGATGTTAGGCAATTGAATTCTTCGAATAGTGTCTTATTTAGAAACTTCTGGGAGGCACTTTTTAGCTGTAAATTCAATCAGTCAAATTCTGGAGAGATTGAGAATGAATGTACAGGAGAGGAAGATTTAACCCAAGTGGAAAACAGCTTCACTGACATGTCATTGATGCCCATATTCAACAATGTCTATAAAGGAGTTTACGCAGTGGCCCATGCTCTGCATGAAATTCTCGACTGTAATAAAACATGTCACAAGAATGTCCAGCTAAATTCCTTAACAGTAAGGTTACCCTTGACTATACTTAGTAATAATACGATATCTGAATATAATTTCTAAAGAATATTTCTTTATCAAACCTTGCTTTGTACCCATCTAAATATTGACATCTATTTTATCATTTTTTAATTAAGATTTTACAGCATTTGCAAAAGATTCACTTTAAAACAAAGGAAGGAGAAGATGTTTATTTCAATGAGAATGGAGACCCACCGGCTAGATATGAAGTAATTAACTGGCAACCAACCAAAAAAAACATGGTTAAATTTGTCAGTGTTGGAACATATGATGCATCTCTACCTAAAGATAAACAACTCAATGTGCATAGTTTGTCTTTGATTTGGGCTAAAAACTCTCTTCAGGTAACAGAGTAAAAACTTCTTTTACTGTAGCATATTTTGATTCTGTTTATTACTCTTTGTCTTGATGCATGAAAAATAACATTTGCATTTATAGGATAAGAATTGCTCCAAAACATAAAACATTTATATATACACATATTCACACACACACACCAACTTGTCTCACTGTTTTTATGGGTTAATTCATTTCTGACCATTCTTGTGGGGGCCGGTTCCTGGACCCCACAAACAGTGGTTTATCCCCATAATGTGCTATTTTTCTGGAAAATGGGCCACACAAAGTATCAAATGTTCAAATACAAGAACGCACACATAGACACCCCTACAAGTGTGTGCGTGTGTGTATAACTTTATGTTAGGGTAAGGGCTAGGAATATACTGATAAGGGTTAGGGTAAATGCCAGGGTTAGGCATGACTGCAGTAACTAAAATGACTGTAAGTCAATGTAAAGATATTAGATGTGTGTATTTTCTTTTGCAGGTCCCTGAGTCAGTTTGCAGTAAGAGGTGTCCTCATGGAACTCGCAAAGTCCTCCAGAAAGGAAGACCTGTCTGCTGTTATGACTGCGTGCAATGCACAGAAGGAGAAATGAGCAACATTACAGGTTCTGTATCACGTAGGGCTACTGGAATTTGAGAAATACAACTGTATTACTTTACTGGGATTCTTAAATGACGGATCTAAGTTATTTAAGAACAAGAGAGATTGCTTTGGAAAATTTACTAAAATCAGCACCGTGGATATGCAGTAAAAGAATGTGCTATACATTTCCTTTCTAACTTATTAATTATGTAATGTAACAATATTAATGGAATCATTGATTCTTAAGGTGCGTTCACACCAGAAGTGAAGCTTGCAAAAATGTTGACAGTTTTATCTGCTTTTGCTTGCCTTGATCAGGCCAGCTGACAGCTTTCTAGGGTCAGTTGCCCTATTTCATAAAACTTTCTGTATTTTATAATGGATATTTTCAACCCATCTATTGAATTTAGTGCAGTAGTTGTTTTCTGTACTTCATAGGAGAACAGCAAGCACTGCTAAATATGGCCTTTTTGACCTGCTGTATATTAGCCAGCCCCTAACATTTATTCCCCTTTCATTGTAGGCGTTAGAATAGGTTAGATATTTGGGAATTTTTTGCCCTCCGAATCTGTGGCAGTTCATTTTTTCCATCTCTGAGAAAGGCTTCCTTTTTGCCATTTCAAACATTCACTCAATCAAAATCAGTCTTTTTTGTTGGCCACAGTGCAGGATCATTGAAATTAAAGGCGGGATCCGTCTCTTAGCCACTATGCTCAGACTCTCTGATCGGGCAGAAAGTCCCTCCACTTGCACTCTTATTGGTAGGGATGGCTCCCTCCGTCTCCTCCTCAAACACATGTTCCCCCCCACCCCCAAGGCTGCAACGCCTCAGCTGGCTCTCCTGCTCCGCACCGTCTTTCACACTGCACCTGGAGCTTTGCCATCTTTCTACTCTTTTGGCTCAAGGCTTAAGTATTTTTATAAAAGAAAATGTGTTTTTTTCTCCCTTACACTAGTTAGCGGAAGCTATACTTTATTTTGTATACACAGAGCGTCTACAAAACAAAATTTCGATGAATAAAGCTTTCCAACAGTGAATGAGCAGCTTGGCAGTGAAATTAACATTTCTATTTATAAAGTGCATCAGTGATCAAAACGTACAGTGTAGGAGAAAAAGAAAACTAGTTTAAGAATTAACTGCCCCCTGCCCCTGTAGCTTACAGCCACATCTAAACCCTGACTAGATTTTGCAATGGGAATGTATCCAAAAGTAAATTTTTTTTTTTACATAATTTGCTCAAATCGTGCCATTCATCTCCCTAAATTTGCCACCATCACCTTCCGCAGCTTTGATTTGCTTTGCTTCATTCCAGATTGGCCCTTCTAAAAATAGATAACACGGGAATCCTTCGCTCCAGCTGTGAAATTCACATTTGGTGTGAACGTACCATTAGAACTTAAAGTCTCTTCTATCGGAGACAGATATTTTTTAAGTTGTTAGTCAAGTTGGTGTTGCTGCAAGCCAGGCTTTTCATACTAGTCCAACACATTGTTTGCACATAGCTGAATTATAAATTTCTGAACACATATCTGATTGACACATACACCATCAGTCTTCAATAAAATGTCATATTCTTCATGCTGACAATGTTTTAAGCCTGAGGACTTGTTGATATGAAGGTGTTTGCATTTTTTATCTTTTAACATATGATTTGCTGGAGCGGTAAGATATTTCCCCCTGGAATTATCTGGCCTGAACCCCGAAAAGGTTACAAGGTTACAAGTTTATTGTAAATGCTAAAAAACAAACATTCCCATGTATTAGATAGACGACTAAATACACACAGCATACTTTGTGCACACAATAACAAGGTGTGATTTGTAAAATTGTGTATATATAAAACCTACTGATGGTGATCAGATGGCCTGGTTGCGCTAGAGTATGGTAGCCTTGTTTCTGTCAGTGAGCCCCAGGGCAACTGTGGCTACAATGTAGCTTGCCACCATCAGTGTGTGTGTGAATGGGGGAATGACTGAATGTAGTGTAAAGTGCTTTGGTCAAGTCCTAGATACAGGCCATTTTAAAATATATAATATAAAATATAACTAAAGCGTTTTCACCCTACACTGGAATATTCCTGATAAATAATAAGCTTATCATTTTTTTGCAGATTCTATCACCTGTTTAAAATGCCTCCCAGACTTCTGGTCAAATGAGGAAAGAGATGCCTGTATAAAAAAAGAAGAACTGTTCCTGTCGTATGACGAAATTATGGGACAATTACTAACAGCAGTTTCTTTAATTGGTACATGTATGACTGCTGTTGTGGCAGCTATCTTCTTCAGACATCGGAAAACACCACTTGTTAGGGCAAATAATTCTGAACTAAGCTTTCTATTGCTCTTCTCTTTGAGTCTGTGTTTCCTCTGTTCCCTGACCTTCATCGGCCAACCCTCTGAGTGGTCCTGCATGCTTCGTCATACAGCTTTTGGAATCACCTTTGTCCTCTGCATCTCATGTGTTCTCGGCAAAACAATAGTGGTTTTAATGGCATTTAAAGCCAAAACCCCAGGTAGACATGCCAGACAATGTTTCGGCCCTGTGCAGCACAGGTTCAGTGTTCTGGGTTTTACTCTAATACAAGTTGTCATATGTATCCTTTGGTTAACAATTTCTCCCCCTTTCCCAATCAGGAACTTCAAGGAATTCAAAGATAAAATTGTTCTGGAATGCAATTTGGGATCCACAATTGGTTTCTGGTCTGTGCTTGGATATATAGGGCTTCTTGCCATGCTGTGTTTTATCTTTGCTTTCCTGGCTCGAAAATTACCTGACAATTTTAATGAAGCTAAACTGATCACCTTCAGCATGCTGATATTCTGTGCGGTGTGGATCACCTTTATACCAGCATATGTCAGCTCTCCTGGGAAGTTCAGTGTGGCTGTAGAAATCTTTGCTATTCTAGCATCAAGTTTTGGATTGCTAATTTGTATATTCGTCCCAAAATGCTTCATTATCTTACTTAAACCAGAGAAAAATACAAAGAAAAATATGATGGGAAGGGGGTCACAAAAATAGTTTTAAAACATTTAATTCATTTGGATCTTTTTTTTTCTGCATATGTAATAATTTATATTGTAAAGTTTTTACTCACTACTTATACACAAGGGCCATAACAGCGCACCTAGTTATGGAGTGGTACAGATACGGTGCCATACTGTATACTGAAAACAAAAAAAAAAAATGGTTATAATATTTTTAACTTAGTATAATATCTGATGTAGTTACACCTATTGAACACAAGATGGAGCTTGTTGTGCTTGTTGGTGTAGTTATTTCTGCTTGATGACCATGTCCAAAGAAAAAACTAAAATGCATTGACATACAGACAACTCTGAAATAGTGAGCAGAAACAGAAAAAAATATCAAGGTTACTAAATATGCAAATGACATGTACTAATTCTAACTAAAATGTATTAATATTTGACCCATTGGGTGCAAAATGCAAAATTCTCTTTCCCCTTTATTACTAGAAACTGCACAGTAAAGACCACCCACTAAGTTGTAAACAGATGTTTTTCCACAATCCAGCAGCAGATGGGTCCTCAGCCCTCTGCATACTTATTGCCAACCATTTTTACATTATTTTGATGTAGACTGCTTTAGATAGCTTAATTATTTCATCTTCTTAACTTAAGGATAAAATAATTTTATTTGTGTAGCCCCAAATAATTTTTAGTCGTCATATATGCAACTTTAAAGTAAACTTTTTACCAACTCGTTACTTCTGTCTTTAAGTAAAATTTATGTTTTTTGGAGTCCTGACCTGAAACTTCTTATGACCTGAAGAATCTTATGTTTAGGGGAAGGACAACCTTTAAACTCAAACAGTTTGAGGTTGAAAATGTTTAATTTCTATGAGGTCATTAACAAAAAAAATTGCTTAAAAAAAGAAATGGACACAAACGAAAGGAGTTGTTAGATTGCTGTAATGCTGTTTTTATTCACTATTAGGAAGTGATATGTGATTTTTTTATAGCCTTTTTCACTCAAATGTAAAACAAATAATTTTTGTTTGTTAATAATGGTCCTTTAAAATTGTTAAAATGTCTTTCTACCGAAACACATTTTAAAAGTTGTATGAATAATTTTAGAAAAGAAAAGATCTATTTTTTGTTTTTAAAAGTTTGTACTGTCTCTTGAGTGTAACTTCTACAAACCCACCCCCGTATCCCACTGTGTATAAAGCCCTGTCATGATAAGTAGAGCTGATATCTAATAGAGAAGAAATATGCCGCTGTTCAGGCTGCTACTGATGGTTGTACTAACAGGACAAGGGAAAATGGTTTGTCGGCTCAGGGGAGGAACGCAAAAGCCTGAACTAGAGCAGGATGGCGATATTATCATTGGAGGCATTTTTTCATTTCGAACAGGCCAGGATTATTTTACGGACACATTTCAATCAATTCCAGGCTTCCGAACCTGCAACAAGTATGGCTAAGCTTGTATTTTTATAGTTATCAACTGTAAAATCACCTTGTTTTTTCTCTTTTTAAATGAGTTATAGAATAATGTATGTTCTGCTTTATATTCATATTGCTGGGACTTAGATTTCAGTTTGTTTCATGTGTTTCCAGTTTCAATTTTAGAGAATTCCAATTTGCCCAAACAATGATTTTTGCTATTAATGAGATCAACGCAAATACTGAAATACTTTCTGGTCTGAAACTTGGGTACAAGATCTATAACAACTGTGGGACTATGGACATACTGAGAGCTGCGCTGGCACTTGTAAGTGGGCTTAAAGAGGAGGTCACTGATGAAGGCTGCACACACGCAAAGACAGTGCAAGCAATATTAGGCCATTCAGGATCAAGTCCTACCATTGCCTTTCTACAGATAATCGGAAGGTTTCAAATACCTGTGGTAAGTTAAAAACAAAACATTCATAAACTACCAGTGAGTTGTCTGGGTATTCTGTTAATTATATTTAATTGCAACAATAATGCTCAGATGCTGAATTAGTTCTACAAATGTTGAAATCAGAAAAAAATAATGAAATATATTTCTTTGTTATAACATAGATCAGCCATTTTGCTACTTGTGCCTGCCTGAGCAATAGGAGAGAATATCCAACGTTTTTCAGAACTATTCCAAGTGACTTTTACCAAAGCAAAGCTCTGGCAAAGCTGGTCAGGCATTTTGGGTGGACTTGGGTTGGGGCTGTGGCTGTAGATAATGAATATGGCTTGAATGGAATTGAGGCATTTATCCAAGCTGCAGAAGACTATGGAGTATGTGTGGAATACTCTGAAGCATTTTCCTCATCTGATCCACCCCATGTTGTACAGAGAGTAATAAACACTATAAAGCACTCCACTTCAAAGGTCATTTTAGCTTTTACTTCACACATGGAAATTAAAATACTTGCCTCTGAGTTGCACAAACAGAACATCACAGGGATTCAGTGGATCGGCAGTGATGCATGGATCACAGATTCCTCCCTTACAGACAGCGAAGGACACACAATTCTGGTTGGATCGCTTGGCTTCACTGTTGCCAAAGCTGAAATCCCTGGCCTAGAAGAACATCTGAGGCAGCTTCATCCTTCACAGTTCCCAAACAGCCAGTTTGTTAAAGATTTTTGGGAAGAAGTGTTTGATTGTTGTCTAAATGAAACTGGGAACACACAAAGAAAGCCCTGTAGTGGCTTGGAAAGTTTGAAAACAGTTGAATCACTTTTCACTGACGTTTCTGAACTCAGATTTACTAAAAATGTCTACAAGTCGGTCTTAGCAGTGGCTCATGCACTTGACATGATGTTTAAATGTGATGATAGAGGATCCTACTCTAACAGCAGCTGTTTTGATCCCAAGCACATAGAGCCATGGCAGGTGAGAAACATAGAGCTTATTGTTATATATTATGTCATTTACGAGACTACGATTTAGTTTGTACCTCTATTTTTTTTTTGCAGATCTTGCATAATCTCAAGAGTGTAAATTTCACCACTCCGGATGGGGAACGAGTTTATTTTGACAATAATGGAGACTCACCCGCAAGATATGAACTTGTAAATTTAAGAATGACATCTAGAAGAATCATGAAAGGAGAAACTGTTGGCATTTATGATGCTTCTTTTCCAGATGACCAGCAGTTCATTATGAACAACATCTCAGTAGTGTGGGCAAATGGTTTGTTAGAGGTAGTATTTTCTGTGTGTTTCAAACAATTTGATGAGAGCGGATTGTTTTGTTGTACAATGCTATATAATGTTATTCAATTATCTTTTTATCTGCTAGATGCCCGTGTCAGTCTGCAGTAAAACTTGTCTCCCTGGAACTTATAAAGTCCTCCAGAAAGGAAAACCAATCTGCTGTCATGACTGCATACCCTGCTCAGCAGGCGAGATCACAAACTTGACAGGTAAGCTTAAGATTTAGAGAATCAGTCTATAGTTTTAAGAATCCATTACAAGTTTTCTTTTCTTTGGTTTTCAGATTCATTGCAGTGTCTTAAATGCCCTCCAGAGTACTGGTCAAACAGCCGAAGAGATGCCTGCATTCCGAAGCCAATTGAGTTCTTAGCATACAATGAAATCTTGGGGACAGTGTTGGCAATATTTTCTCTATTAGGAATCTTTTTAGCTATGATCACAACACTAATCTTTTTTACCCACAAAGAGACCCCATTGATAAGAGCTAACAACTCAGAGCTAAGCTTCCTGCTGCTTTTTTCCTTGACCTTGTGTTTCCTGTGTTCTCTAACCTTCATAGGGCGCCCCACTCAGATGTCCTGCATGCTGCGGCATACAGCATTTGGCATGACCTTTGTCCTCTGCATGTCTTGTGTTCTTGGAAAAACAATGGTGGTTTTAATAGCCTTCAGGGCTACACTTCCAGGCAGCAATATAGTCAAATGGTTCGGGCCGACACAGCAGAGACTTAGTGTAATATCTTTCACACTTATACAGGTTTTGATTTGCATACTTTGGCTAACTATAAGTCCTCCGTTCCCTTTTATGAATTTTGCCTTCTATGAGGATAGAATAATTTTACAGTGTGATCTTGGTTCAGCCATCGGATTCTATGCTGTTTTGGGGTACATAGGATTTTTGGCTGTTTTATGCTTTGTACTTGCTTTTCTGGCTCGGAAGCTACCAGATAACTTTAATGAAGCTAAGTTTATTACTTTCAGCATGTTGATATTCTGTTCAGTCTGGATTACATTTATTCCAGCATATATCAGCTCTCCTGGTAAGTTAAGTGATGCTGTGGAAATATTTGCTATTTTAGCTTCTGCCTATGGAGTTCTGCTCTGCATTTTTCTGCCAAAATGCTTTATAATATTGTTCAGACCAGAACAGAACACCAAGAAATGCATAATGGGGAAGACTGTCAGAACGGATATCCAATATTAGTCTGTCAAAAATGTGTTTAGAAGTTGTGTTGGCACACTAATAATACTGTAATTTTAATGATTGCACTGCTATCTGATGAATAAATACTTTCCCTTGGTAAAGATGTTTGTTCATTTACCTTTAATTTAAACCCAATCCCACATCACATTAAGACAAAGTGAGTAAAGAATGTTTGAAGGTTTCCCTTCGTTTCTAAAACAGGTGAAAATATGTTTGTATGCACAGACCAGATCTTCAATTCAGCAGAGAGCATGAACAAACATTTTTTGCATGTGTGCGTTCATTAACATGTAGATGATATTTTAATGACCAAGCACAGCAAATTCATGGGTGGAAAATATTCGAATGTAAACCTATACCATGTGCAAAGCAATTTTTCAAATCTCAAACTCAAGTGCGGTCAAGTTCTTACAACTTTTTTAGTAAAAAGCAAAGCTAAACTGATATGGACAGATATCTGCTGTCATTTTTGCATTGGAGGCATTAGTACAATGCCAGGTGCTAAAAAAAATGTGGAACATAAGAAATAACAACATAAAATTATATTAAAAATGATCTACACAAGCTGCCACAAATTCCCCCAAGGGGATAACTAGAGGAAAATGGACTGTAGATAACTTAAGACAATTATGAAGCCATGGAAAACATAAAAAAACCA